TCTCTCTCTCTCTCTCTCTCTCTCTCTCTCTCTCTCTCTCTCTCTCCTCTCCTCTCTCTCCCCCCTCTCTCTCCCGTGTAAGTGCGTAGTAAGTATGAGAGCGGGAAAACGTGCGTCTTGTTTCTCTTGTTCTGAAAGTGGCGTAAAAGGTAAACCACACCAGGCAATACCTTATCTATTATTTTTTTTATAACCGCAAGAGACAAAAAAACAGGTTTTAATCTTCAAGCTGCAGCGAAACTTGACTACTCAGCTGTCCCCAACCCTGTCCAAATCAATACGAGCGTTGATTAAATATCCTGAAGTTACCATCATCGCAACCTATCTGTCTTGCATACAGTAGAACAGATTATTCCACTAATAAACGGAAAATGTTGGAAGCTTGTAAGGTACTTTTTACAAGCTTGCTAATGCACAGAAGCACGCACACATTTGTAGATAGATAGATAGATAGATAGTTAGATAGATAGATAGATAGATAGATAGATAGATAGATAGATAGATAGATAAATAGATAGATAGATAGATTAATGTGTTTGTATGTGAGTAATATGCATGTGTGTATGTGCATGTGTGTGTGTCATTGTGTTGTGTGTCTGTCCGTCTGTCTGTCTGTCTGTCTGTCTGTTTGTCTGCTTTTCCTTTTGTCTGTCTGTCTGTCTGTCTGTCTGTCGGTTAACGCGAAAGAACTTGATTTAGTCGTTCGTGAACCCCCCAACTCTGATGAGTGACCTTATTATTCTATAGTTCTGAGCATCCATACTTGTTGAAACTCGTCTTGTCGCGTCGCGCATAGCGAGATAAACCATATGTGGTAACTCCATTTAGTTGTCGAGGTATTCTGTATAAAATTATGTTTTCTATGGTGATAACCACAGAATGCTTGAAGTTTCAGAAGATGTTTGGAGTTCTCATTCTCCTCAGATCCTACACATGTGTGCCCACACTAAGTAAAGCATTTCAAATTAACAGAGTTGACTCCTCTGTAAAATCATTAACTCGCCTCATCTAAACTGAACAGAATAAGTAACTGCGTTTTAAACCCCAGGTTCTCCTCAAGGCATGTTCACAGATAAGTAAACGGTGAAAATCGTGATAGTGATAAGGAATTCTATACTGTACAATTCCTATCAATAAAATGTTTATGATACCTTTTGATAATAGCATTGAATTCGCCTTTAAGTCTTAGAAACAGTGTATTTGTCCAGTATGGAGTCAATCGTGATATGTCGGCCAGAATATTGATTTTTTTTAGATCGTATTTCACCTTTCACAAAGACGTACAGTCAGGGAAGATATTATTGTAATTACTGTGTTCGTGGATTTTGCCATCCTCCCTTTCTGTGTTGTCAGGCTTATCTAGATTTGTTGTTTACGTCAACTGTGCTGGCTTATCGGGGTACTGAACATCTCTTTTCTCTTCCTATTTCTCTTTTTTCGTCCTTTCTTTTCTTCTTCCTCCTCCTCCTCCTCCTCCTCCTCCTCCTCCTC